GCACCTTCCGGCAGCCAGAGTCTCTGTGCTCACCGGCTCTGCTCTGGAGCCTCTGAGAGGCAAGGGCCTCAGAGAGGAGCATGTGGGTCCTGATCGAGTACAGGCAAAACAGGCTGTGCCTGGGAACCTGTCCCCCCATTGAGGGTAGTAACCCTGGCTGTGGGGTGGGCAAGCCTGGGCATCTCTCTCCAGGTCTGAGTTGAAGCCAGGGGGCACCCAGGAGCAGGTGAGGCCCCTGTGGGCACAGCCTCTGCCCGGGAGAAATCTGGGGAGATCACAGGGCCAAGGAACAGTGGGAGGCAGAGGGCCTTATTTAGCTCTTTTCAGGTGTCCCTCTAGATCCTCAAACTCAGAGGCTGTGGCGTCCAGCCCCTGCCTCTGGGCATATGATTATATCTCCCAAACCTGGGGCCCCTTACTCTTCAAAGACTGGACCCTTCCACTAAGCCCTTCCTCTGTCTAGGACCTCTAGATCCAACCCAGCCCATTCCTCTTCAAGCAGCACGAATACCTCTAGCAGCTTGGAAGCTCATGGGAAGTCCCCTGAGGGTGGTCCCCAAACCACTTTAACAGAGAAAGCATTTTCTGCTTGTGGATGTCCAGGAACACTGGGCCAAACATAGAGCATCAGATGAGACTAAAGCCAGGCCCCACCCAAGGCACTCTGCATGGGGACCCTGAGTGTTAGGGATGTGGACCCCTGAGCCACTTTGCATAGGTTCTCAAGCTTGCACCCCGGATCATGGAGGAGGCCCCGGCAGGGTGAGCCCTGCCCTCCCCACGGCTGACCTAGGTTAGGTCAGGTCCCAGAAGTTCCTGTTGGTGCTCTCCCAGGCTACAGCACAGGTGGGGAGCAAGAGTTGTCCTGGGAAGCATGCTGGGGCCAGAGTTCTCAGCAGAGGGGTTCCGAGGCTGAAAAGTTTGGGAAGAGGTCAGTGTGTCCTGCTGCCCCTGAACTCGCCTTCACCAATATCCCTGTAAGTGCCTCCACCCTGCAAGGGAGGTTTAAGTGTGTGGCCATGGCCTCTTTCCAGGGAAAGGCACCATGGGGTGCCCGAGGGCATGTGCCAAGTGGCAGCTTCACCTGTGAGCTCAGGTAGGGGGTCACAGCAGGCATGTGGCACAGAGCATGCAAAGTGTGCTTTTGAGAAAAATATAAAAGGTAAAGTCCCACATCTTTGCTCCTGTCCAAGGAAGGAAGGGCCTGGGCTGCTGCTTTCTCTACATAATTGGTCTTATTTGTGGAGCTGGTTTTCTTCTCATTCTGGCAGTTTATGCTACTTCATAGGTCCCAGGAAATTGCAGGCACAAGGAACAAACCCAGAGCCTTGGGGTCAAAAGGCTGGGATGTGTCCAGGAGATTAAACCACATTATTCATAGTTTTCATGGTAAATTTAATTTCCTTCTTTCTTTCTTTCCTTTCTTCTTTCCATTCTTTCTCCAGATTTTCCCATCTGATGTGGACTGACAGTGGGGTAACTTGGGGTTTCCCTCCAAGTTTGTGCTTTTGGAGCTTGAGGACAGGTGGGCACTTGGCAGTCACCATCTAGTCCTCCTGTGGTACAGGGTATGGGTTTGGAGCTCTGTGGCTGACCAGGGTCTTCCTCTGCCTGCACGGCTCCCTGGTTACTTTTATTTCTTCTGAACTGTAAAGAAAAGAACATGTATGAAAGAAGAGAGTGCAGAACATTGAGTTTTTAAGTCCTAGAGTTGAGGATTTGGTTTTTGTTTCCTAGTGGGAAAACTAACGGGGCCAATCAGAATCAGCCCGAGGACTTTTGCTATAATCATCGACAAAGAATCATTTTTGCACACACCTGTAATTACAGCTACTCAGGGAGTCAAGGCAGGAGGGTTGCAAGTTCAAGGCCATCCTGG